AGCAGGTCGAGGCTGCAGTGGCCGGGAGCGGCCACTGCACTCCAGTCTGGGCGACAGACTGAGACTCCAACTCAAAAAAAAAAGATTTTAAATCTCAGTTGTACTCTCGACACTCAGTATTCTCCTTAGCTTTAGTTATCTTGTCCAGTTCCACTGTAGTTGTTCCAACTCTTGTTACTCTAAAGAGATTCTCTATTACTTTTCAGTCCCTTTTACTTTCAGCATTATTATCTCATCTCCTGCTTTACAGAGCAAAATAAGGACTACTAGCTATTACTTTTCTCAACCTCCTTTTGACTCCCAAATCTCTATTTCTACCTGTATCCTCTCCTTGGATTCTAAACTCATTACTACTGTTCTGCTTTTAAAGAAGTACAGTTCCCTTATTATTTCATGAACTAATACCTTTTCCTATACTGTATGCACAGACTGCGCACATAATTACTAATATACCCATATGTTTCCCCAAATACAATGTGGTCTCTATAAGGCCTGGTTAGCATCTCATTTATTCATATATTATTGCCAGATACCAGTTTATACCAGTTACTCATAAATATTTGTTAAGTTAGTTCAGGTTGAATTAAACTCTTTCTGAAATAAAAGTAACTAGCACTGAGAAAAGGAATGAAGAATCAAAAAGTATCCTAAAGGAAAATATTGTCAAAATCAACTGCTTGATCATGATCACTTACACTTATTACTACCTTTAGTTTAAAACTGTCTTTTGCCCTCAGCTACAAACTCATGAACTCAGAGGGAAAAAAAAAGCAATACATTATCCATAAAATGCTGAGATTAGTTTAAAAAAAAAAAAAGGAAAGAAAGCCCCATGTAACCGTGTCTTGACTCTTGATTTAAATTAGGTATACTGATAATATTTCAAGCCAGGTGTTATGGTGGTATATGCCTGTAATTCCAGTACTTTAGGAGGTCGAAGTGAGAGGAATGTTTGAGCCCATGAGTTCAAGACAGGCTGGCAATGTAGCAAGACTTTATCTTTACAAAAAACTCAGACCAAATCAAATAAAAAAATTAGTGGGGCATGGTGGTGCACTCTTGTAGTACCAGTTACTCAGGAAGCTGAGGTGGAAGGATCGCCTAAGCCCAGGAGGTTGTGCCACTGCACTCCAACCTGTGTAACAAGTGAGATTCTGACTCAAAAAAAAAGATTAATTTTTTTTAGATTGGAAAATATAATTTATTTAGTAAGTAAATAAGAGAGAGAGCGAGATACCCAGGTGTGGTGTCACATGCCTATAGTTCCAGCTACTTGGAAGGGTGAGGCAGAAGGATCACCTTAGCCCAGCAGGTTGAGACTGCACTGGCTGGGAGCATACCACTGCACTCCAGCCTGGGTGACAGAGTGAGACTCCAACTCAAAAAAAAAGAGAAGCCGGGCTCAGTGGCTCAGCCTGTAATCCCGCGCCTTTGGGAGGCTGAGGCGAGTGGATTGCCTGAGCCTGCGGGTTCGAGACCCGCCTGGGCAGGCGAGACCTCATCTCTACAATAAAAAAAAAAAAAAATCAGCCGGAAGGATTGCCAGAGCCCAGCAGGTTGAGGTTGTAGTGGGCAGGAGTGGCCACTGCACTCCAGTCTGGGTGACAGTGAGACTCCAACTCAAAG